TCCGGCACTTCTTGAAGAAAGCTATCTAGTATTCTATTGAAGATGTCCACGATTGTTCCCGCAATATTTCTTATGTTTGCCGGGAGGATGTTGAACAACCGTGGACCTCTGATGTCTATACAGTGTTCTCTGATTGTGCCTATGGCACCTCTGCTCTTCACTGGTTCTATTCTGCATTTTCTTCCATACTGTTCACTCCAGTATTTTGATATTTTACTGTGCAGATTTGGGACCTGGCTCTCTAGTATTTTCCACGTATATATTATTTGATATCTCTCTCGTCTTGTTTCTAGCGAGTACATTTGGAGAGCTGTGAGATGATTGCAATAATTTAGGTGCTTTATCGCGTCTATGTATGCCGTATATGTTCTCTGTATTCCCTCTATTTCAGCAATCTCTCCTGCTCTGAAGGGGGAAGTGAGTACTGAGCAGTACTCAAGACGGGACAGCACAAGTGATTTTGAAGAGTACAACCATTGTGATGGGATCCCTGGATTTGAAAATTCTAGTAATCCATCCTATCATTTTTCTGGCTGACGCAATATTTGCTTGGTTATGCTCCCTAAACGTTAGGTCGTCAGACATCGTTATTCCCAAATCCTTGACTTGTTGCTTTCCTACTATAGGCAAATTTGTTTGTGTTTTGTACCCTGTATTATGTTATAAGGTCCTCATTTTTACCGTATATGAGTACCTGGAATTTATTACTGTTAAGCATCATGTTATTTTCTGCTGCGCAGTCGAAAACTTTATCAATATCTGCTTGTAGTTTTTCAATGTCTTCAGCAGAGGTAATTTTCATGCTGATTTTTGTGTCATCTGCAAAGGATGATACGAAGCTGTGACTTGTATTTGAGTCTATACCTGATATGAAAATTAGGAATAGCAGTGGTGCATGGAATGGACCTCGAGGTACAGAGCTATAACTGCCCTTTGACTCGATTTTATATGGTTGACTGTTACTCTTTGTGTTCTGTTCGACAGAAACTGAGTATCCAGCGACCTACTTTACCAGTTATTCCCATTGACCTTATTTTGTGTGCTATCACTCCATGGTCACAATTGTCGAATGCCTTTGCGAAATTCGTGTATACCACATCTGCATTCTGTTTTCAGAATACAGTGAAAATCCTCAGTGATTTTATCGTAGTGGTCAAGTAACTGTGAGAGGCACGATCTTCCCGCTCTAAATCCATGTTGACCTGGATTTTGGAAGTCATTGGTCTCCATGAAACTAGTGACCTGACTCCTGATCACTCTCAAATACTTTTATTATGTGGAACATTAGTGCAACTGGTCTTTAATTCTTTGCCAATGCTTTGCTCCCTCCCTTGTGTAGAGGGGCTATGTCTGCTGCTTTAAGCTCATCTGGTATCTCCCCCGTGTCCAAGCTCTTCCTCCACACTATACTGAGTGCCTGTGCTACCGGCACTTTGCATATCTTTATAAATATTGAATTCCATGAGTCTGGACCCGGGGCTGAGTGCATGGGAATCTTGTGATTTTCTCTTTCAAAATCTGTCACGCTCGTGTTGATATCAGTAATATTTACAGGTGTTTGGATATCACGCATAAAGAAGTTGTTCGAATCTTCCACTTTCATGTTGTGTATCGGGGTGCTAAACATGTCCCCATGCTGTTTTTTAGGATTTCACTAATTTCTTTGTCATCCTCAGTGTATGAACCTTCACTAGTACGAATAGGTCCAATACTGGCAGTGGTTTTTGCTTTTGATTTCGCATATGTGAAGAAATATTTTGGGTTTTTATTTCTTGAATTGCATTCTGTTTTAATTATCTTTCTTCAGTCTGATATGAATGCTTCAGTCTCTGTTCGATTTCTTCAATCTCCCTGTTTAAATTATTCCTTCTTTGTATGGAAAGTTGTGTCTGCTTCAGCATTTCCGTTAATTTTCTCCTTCTTTTGTAGTGTCGTCTGCGTTCTCTTTCTACCTTGGACCTCTTTCTGGCTTTCCTCGAAGGAACATGTTTCAGACAGACTTCATATGCTTCAGAAGTCAGTTTTTCTATTCCTTGTGTAGGATTTGTATTAGAACATTTTCCCATTAAATGCTTGCAAGTTCCCTGTTTATATTCTCCCAGTCTATCCTTTTATTATTAAAATTGAATTTATTGAATAATCCTTCTCCCTTGTTGTTTCTCTTGGGCCTACTAATGTTATTAATGTTAGTTTGCAAAGAATATTTCGGAAAGAATTTCTGATTAAACAAGCTCTGATTCATAAGTCAGATTGCGAGCAGCTACGTCCAACAGTCTGGTTGACCAGATAGCTAAGAGTCCTGATCAAAGACCGGGCCGCGGGGACGTTGATCCCCGGAACTATCAACAGGTTGTCAGGAGGTAGGAAGTTTCCTCAGTCACATCCGAGGAGCTTGTGAGACCTCAGCAGGCTAGGGACTCCCGCGGTGGTCACCTGTACAGGTATGCTCAGTCTGTGCTCAGTCTGTGCTCAGTCTGTGCTCAGTTTGTGCTCAGTCAGTGCTTAACTCAGCAGTGTGCTTCTACTCATGGCTCATCTTCACACCATCGTCCTCTGAGACACTTTGAACTCTGAAACTTTTCACGTCAATAAAAAAGAGTTTTTGCCAGTTGAATTTAAGCAAACTCTGGATGATTGCATACCAGCTTAATTAACCAAAAGTGGCTCCTTGCCCCTTGATTCATCATCAGAATCTCACACAGGTCAACAGTGTTTTATAAAATGTTGGATATTCTTTTCAGGTTTAAAATAATGAGATACTTCTCAGTAACCTCGGCTCTACAAAAGTCTCCTTATGCCTCGTCTAGCATATTGCTCTTGCATGTGGGGGGGTGGGGATGTCTTCCTCTTGACAACCATCTTCATGGCGTCTTGAAGTTTGTTCCTTTGATCAATTCATTTATTATTTCAAAGCTTTAATCATTTGCCTCTAGCCAGAAAGTCAGTCAGTCTCACTCTCAGTCTCTATCTCAGCCTCACTCTCAGCCTCACTCTGTCTCTCTCTCTCAGTCTCTCTCTCTCAGTCTCTCTGTCTCACTCTCAGTCTCTCTCTCAGCCTCACTCTCAGTCTCACTCTCAGCCTCACTCTCAGTCTCACTCTCAGTCTCACTCTCAGTCTCACTCTCAGTCTCACTCAGTCTCACTCTGTCTCACTCTCAGTCTCACTCTCGGCCTCACTCTCGGCCTCACTCTCGGCCTCACTCTCGGCCTCACTCTCAGCCTCACTCTCAGTCTCTCTCTCTCTGTCTCTCTCTCTCTCTGTCTCTCTCTCTCTCTGTCTCTCTCTGTCTCTCTCTCTCTCTCTCTCTCTGTCTCTCTCTCTCTCTGTCTCTCTCTCTCTGTCTCTCTCTCTCTCTGTCTCTCTCTCTGTCTCTCTCTCTGTCTCTCTCTCTCTCTGTCTCTCTCTCTCTCTCTCTCTCTCTCTCTCTCTCTCTCTCTCTCTCTCTCTCTCTCTCTCTCTCTCTCTCTCTCTCTCTCTCTCTCTCTCTCTCTCTCTCTCTTTTTACTTCCATGGTTGTTGCTCCTCAAGTGTGTTCCTCAGTGCTCACATAGCATCGTATTCTAGTTACTTTTGTCTGTATAAGGACTGAACACTTCCTTCACTCTATTTTTACCCCCATTCCACAGACAAATTATGGAATGCTGCCTGGGAAGTCCAGGGACACAGGTTCGATCCGAATGTACTGCCTCAATATTTTCACATAGATACATCGTGCTATTGTGGCTTCAACGTGGCATGGTCACCAATGTTGGTGTTCTTCGACGATTCTTTTAATATTTAAAGAATTGTCTACAGATATTTTGTTCGGTACAGGTTTTTTTACTCGCCATTTTCCAAATGTTGTTTACTTTAGATGGGGAGATTTGCCTTCATGTCATCATGTTCTGGAAACAAAATACTCTACACAGGATGTGTAAATATACGTTTGTCTAAATTTTAATATTTTATTTGAAGCTTGTTGAAGCATAATAGGCTGTGTGTGTGTATTTACTATTTGTATTTGCTGAATCGAGCTATTAGTTCTTGGACCCCGCCTTTCTAACCAATTTATTGTTCCTCTTATTATGTCTATTACATATATTTCTCTCTAAACACACGCCCACACACACACATACACATTCCCATGTAGTGGCCCGTAGCAGCTATCTAACTCCCAGGTACCTATTTACTGCTAGGTTAACAGGGGGCATCAGGGTGAAAGAAACTTCCCATTTGTTTCCGCCTCCACTGGGGATCGAATCAGGATCCTTAGGACTACGAATCCAGAGCGCTGTCCACTCAGCCGTCAGACCCCTGACCTGTGTGTGTGTGTGTGTGTGTGTGTGTGTGTGTGTGTGTGTGTGTGTGTGTGTGTGTGTGTGTGTGTGTGTGTGTGTGTGTTGCGATTGTAAATGTGTTTTATTGGAGGCTGGGGTGGTTTCTAGTCACCTGATTTCTTTTCTAAATCGTTGCTGCCCAACAGAGGAAGAACCCCCCCTTCCCCTCCCTCCCTTCTCCACTGGCATGGTAGCTCCCTTTCACGCACCGGAGTCCGATGGTCGAGGAGTAGTTTGGCCCGCCTCTTAACCCCGGTGAATGCAACATAAATATCTACTCCATTTACTGTCTCATTTCAAGTTATTGATTCCCACGATAAATTCTGATCCCCCTTTTTTTCCCGCCAAGAAGCCCTTGAGGATGAGGATCTTGTATGAGGTCACCAGGGCCACTCACTGACGCCCCGCTCGCTCGCTCAGCCTCTGTTTACGTGGATAATATTGACTCTAAAATTTCTAACTGGTTAATATGGGTCGTGCGAACCGCCAGTCAAGGTGTCGGCGTTTATGTCTTAATGAAACGTTTGAGTCGTCGTCTCGGTGCTCCTCAGACCTCGCTCCTGGTAATTCGCAAGATGCCAACAATTTGGCTGAGAGCCTTTTCACGTTGCCTTTTCAATCACTCTTGTGTTGGAGGCTCTGGAGGCTCTCGCGTGATGTAAGTGGATGACATCAGAGTGTACCTGGGCCGTTGACTCTGCCATCATTATATTGACGTCTTCTGAGTTGAGGGAGAAGGTGAAGACTCACTCGACTGTGATTGGTCGGCTCAGGGGGCGCTGAGCTCGGCGCGAACTCTACACTTCTTTGTGATTGGTTGTCTTAACGGCTCGTGGTTTGTGGCGTCAACTCTACTCTTGCTCGTGATTGGTGGCTTTGGCGTCTCTGACCGTGACGTGAACTGCACACTCGCAGGTGATTGGGTGTCCAAACAACGGTGTAATTTTAAATCTTTCCAAGTTCGCGGTTAGTTCTCTGAACAGCGGGGGAACCCGTATGAAAGGCGGGGAACCCGTATGAAAGGCGGGGAACCCGTTTGAATATCGGGGGAACCCGTTTGAATATCTGGGGAACCCGTTTGAATATCGGGGGAACCCGTTTGAATATCGGGGGAACCCGTTTGAATATCGGGGGAACCCGTTTGAATATCGGGGGAACCCGTTTGAATATCGGGGGAACCCGTTTGAATATCGGGGGAACCCGTTTGAATATCGGGGGAACCCGTTTGAACAGCGGGGAACATGACACGAGTCTCATGGTTTCCTGTCAAGGGTGTTACGGAATGCATTATCGTGTTATTGCGTCGCATAAAAAATAGCACTGTTATTTAATAGTAATACTTTCAATATTACAGGAAGAACAAGGTTAACGACCGTGAAGGTCGTTAACGGTCAGCACGGTGTGGCTCGTCCGGTGGCGGGAATTCTGTTAGCCAATCAGAATCACCGGGCGAGGCAATGAGTGCTGGTCAGAGCATGAACTGAACAGTACTATACTCACTCCCATTCGGTCGACATGCCGTTTTTTTGTGTGCGCGTGCGTGCGTGTGCGCCCGTCCGTCCGTGTCCGACCAGTTTGCTCCAGCTGTGACAGCGTGTTCCAAGTCTCCAGCGACACGGACCTTAGGACGTAGGACTTTAGTATATATATATATATATATGTCGTGCCTAGTAGCCAGAACGCACTTCTCAGCCTACTATGCAAGGCCCGATTTACCTAATAAGCCAAGTTTTCATGAATTAATGTTTTTTTCGACTACCTAACCTAACTTTTTCGGCTACCTAACCTATAAAGATAGGTTAGGTTAGGTACGGTTGGTTAGGTTCGGTCATATATCTACGTTAATTTTAACACCAATCAAAAAAAAATTGATCTCGTACATAATGAAATGGGTAGCTTTATCATTTCATAAGAAAAAAGTAGAGAAAATATATTAATTCAGGAAAACTTGGCTTATTAGGCAAATCGGGCCTTGCATAGTAGGCTGAGAAGTGCGTTCTGGCTACTAGGTACGACATATATATATTTAACTGTACATATACGGTACCCCCGTGTTTAATGGATATATTCACCTATATCACTAAGTCTTCCCCAAAAATTTTCTTGTCCTCAGTCAGATCTCAGAGAATTAAGTGTGTCGCACCTGACAATTTCAAGCTGAGACTGACACCTGGAAAAAAAATCAAAGTATCCAGTTGGATTACAAAGAATAAGAGAAGCACTTACAGAACAAATCTATTTAAATGTGTTGGGTTTTCAACAGTTCGATCCCAACAAGGGGTATACAGTAGTGTGTGTGAGGTACGCTCACTTTGTTCAGTCGCAGACGGTAAATGCAGGATCACACATTCAAGAATTAATACCAACATGCATCCATAATATATCTATACGAGTTTTAACATACCCTTAAAAAAAGGAAAACGGCTCCTCTTGGCCCCACGAGAGGCGGCTCCTCTTGGCCCCACGAGAGGCGGCTCCTCTTGGCCCCACGAGAGGCGGCTCCTCTTGGCCCCACGAGAGGCGGCTCCTCTTGGCCCCACGAGAGGCGGCTCCTCTTGGCCCCACGAGAGGCGGCTCCTCTTGGCCCCACGAGAGGCGGCTCCTCTTGGCCCCACGAGAGGCGGCTCCTCTTGGCCCCACGAGAGGCGGCTCCTCTTGGCCCCACGAGAGGCGGCTCCTCTTGGCCCCACGAGAGGCGGCTCCTCTTGGCCCCACGAGAGGCGGCTCCTCTTGGCCCCACGAGAGGCGGCTCCTCTTGGCCCCACGAGAGGCGGCTCCTCTTGGCCCCACGAGAGGCGGCTCCTCTTGGCCCCACGAGAGGCGGCTCCTCTTGGCCCCACGAGAGGCGGCTCCTCTTGGCCCCACGAGAGGCGGCTCCTCTTGGCCCCACGAGAGGCGGCTCCTCTTGGCCCCACGAGAGGCGGCTCCTCTTGGCCCCACGAGAGGCGGCTCCTCTTGGCCCTACGGTCGTTCTGGGGGTTCAAACTGTGGCTGGTCGTCCTGGGGTTCATATTCATACACGTTCATAGATAATTTGTATTTTTTCTTCATAAATACACCGTATTAATGTCAACTTTTTTTTAATTCCAGGTGAGTGCGAGGCTTCAGTACCGTGCCCTAGGGTACACCACCCTAGGGTACACCGCCTACTATAGGTCGAGCCCTGGTGGGTGACCCGACCAATCAGACCTTGTCGACGGAGCACTCTGGTCGACGGAGGCCCCACAGGTCGACGGAGGCCCCACAGGTGAGGTAAACTCTTAAAGTATCAACTTCCCTTCATACAGTCAGCGGTGTAATGGCAACTGGTGAATCATAACGTAACCTATTGGGCTCTCCATGTAGAGTTACCATGAGGTTTACCTGTCACACACCACCGGATGGAAGTACTCTTTACATTCTGCCTCACCGCCCGGCTCCGTCAGGAGTTATCTTAGTGCGGCTCGGGTTCCTCTCTATAACAATTACAAAGTTATTTGTAACGCAAATGTTCCTTCAACTCCCCACCCCTCCACCCCCACCCAACCTCGGGAACAGCAGCAGCAGCAGCAGCAGCAGCAGTTGCAGCAGCAGCAACAGTTGCAGCAGCAGTAGCAGTTGCAGCAGCAGCAACAGTTGCAGCAACAGTTGCAGCAGCAGCAGCAGCAGCAGTAGCAGCAGCAGCGCCCGCCGCTGTAGCTCTGCCGCGCTCTGTAAAATAAAAATTTGGCTACCGCCACCACCATTAAATTTGATTAAGGGCAAGATACTTGGGTGATAATTTAGGGGATGTACGAATGCTCGCTTCGTGGGGGGGGGGGGGGGCAGGGAGAGGTTATGTACTCGCCTATTTGTGCCTGCACGTGCACTCGGCTTTTCCATCCGTAGGTTCTCTGATGCAATGACTCCTGACCTATTTCCCTATCATATCTACGTTTAATACTATGACTGGGTGATTGTACAACTTGCTCCTCAAGCTCATTCCATTTTCCTCATTACTATTAGGCTAAAATTAAATTTTTTTAACATATCTGTGATTCATTTGAGTCTCGAGCTCCCATCCGTGTCCTGTTGAACTATTGGTGTTCATTGTGTACATTTCCTCCTTTTCCTCTCTGTCAATCCCCCCTAAGTATTTTATACATATCTATCATGTTCCCCTCTCTCTCTCTCTCTCTCTCTCTCTCTCTCTCTCTCTCTCTCTCTCTCTCTCTCTCTCTCTCTCTCTCTCTCTCTCTCTCTCTCTCTCTCTCTCTCTGTCTCTCCTCTTCTCTCTCTCTCTCTCTCTGTCTCTCCTCTTCTCTCTCTCTCTCTCTCTCTGTCTCTCTCTCTCTGTCTGTCCTCTTCTCTCTCTCTGTCTCTCTCTGTCTCTCCTCTTCTCTCTCTCTCTCTCTCTGTCTCTCCTCTTCTCTAACGTCGTCAGGTATAGTCCTTTCAGTCTCTCGTCATACCTCATCCCTCAATTTTGGGACGAGGCTTTTTGCAAACTTTTGAACCTTTTAGAGTTTTCTTATGTGTTTCTTTAGGTGGAGGCTCCATGATGGGGCGGCATGCTCCCAACCTGCTCTCACTTAGTGTACTGCTATCTGAATGCCTTTTTTATTAGTGTTTATGAAGGCTGTTTTGCCATTCGCTGATGTTGGAATTCTATATAAAAGTGTCTCCGGAGTTTTACTTAGTGTTATGTCCACTCCAAGGTCCGTTCCCCCCCCCCCCTTGGTGTTATGTCCACTCCAAGGTCCGTTCCCCCCCCCCCCTTGGTGTTATGTCCACTCCAAGGTCCGTTCGTCTAGTTGTTGTAAGGAGGTAGTCCCCCCCCCTTGGTGTTATGTCCACTCCAAGGTCCGTTCGTCTAGTTGTTGTAAGGAGGTAGTCCCCCCCCCCCCTTGGTGTTATGTCCACTCCAAGATCCGTTCGTCTAGTTGTTGTAAGGAGGTAGTCCCCCCCCCCTTGGTGTTATGTCCACTCCAAGGTCCGTTCGTCTAGTTGTTGTAAGGAGGTAGTCCCCCCCCCCCCTTGGTGTTATGTCCACTCCAAGGTCCGTTCGTCTAGTTGTTGTAAGGAGGTAGTCCCCCCCCCCTTGGTGTTATGTCCACTCCAAGGTCCGTTCGTCTAGTTGTTGTAAGGAGGTAGTCCCCCCCCCCTTGGTGTTATGTCCACTCCAAGGTCCGTTCGTCTAGTTGTTGTAAGGAGGTAGTCCCCCCCCCCTTGGTGTTATGTCCACTCCAAGATCCGTTCGTCTAGTTGTTGTAAGGAGGTAGTCCCCCCCCCCCTTGGTGTTATGTCCACTCCAAGGTCCGTTCGTCTAGTTGTTGTAAGGAGGTAGTCCCCCCCCCCCTTGGTGTTATGTCCACTCCAAGGTCCGTTCGTCTAGTTGTTGTAAGGAGGTAGTCCCCCCCCCTTGGTGTTATGTCCACTCCAAGGTCCGTTCGTCTAGTTGTTGTAAGGAGGTAGTCCCCCCCCCTTCCTCGTGTACTGTTATGTCCACTCCAAGGTCCGTTCGTCTAGTTGTTGTAAGGAGGTAGTCCCCCCCCCTTGGTGTTATGTCCACTCCAAGGTCCGTTCGTCTAGTTGTTGTAAGGAGGTAGTCCCCCCCCCCCCTTGGTGTTATGTCCACTCCAAGGTCCGTTCGTCTAGTTGTTGTAAGGAGGTAGTCCCCTCCCCCCTTCCTCGTGTACTGTTATGTCCACTCCAAGGTCCGTTCGTCTAGTTGTTGTAAGGAGGT